ATGTTCAAAGATCTTCAAAATTGTTGTCCAGAGTACTCCAGTTCTAGTTTAGCGCATTAGCAATTTGGTTTTGATAAGTACTGATCAAGGAAAGCTGCTGCTGCTAGCGCAAGAAATTGTCTTCTCCATTTGGTGTCCGAAACGAAGTCACTTTAGAGACATAAGCTGATAATAGTCAATAATGCATCATTCTGGGGCCAAGTTACATCAGAAATCAGAACGTGGGAATCCATGGTGGCGGTGGGAAAAACGTGAAAGTAATGGTAACCACAACACAGATGCCCCTCGCCGAAATTGAATTCTTATATGGAATAATGAATTAATGACATAAGAGGCAACTTGCTACATCGTTTAGGGGGAAAAAAATAAAACTCGGAAAAAAGCTTTCATTTGTGAGATAAGGGGAAAAACCCTCTAATGCAGGTAGAACAGTTCATGTACTGTATTACACCAGAATGTTTACGATAGAATTACCTTCAAACAACTTGTTGAAATGAGATTCTTAAATTTCATTTTCATGTTGCAAGATTTCCATGAATTTGAGGATTATTCTTAAAGTTTTATAGAATATTATAGACTTGACTCGGGGCTAATGTATCATGAATCACTAATTTTATAGTTGTATTTTTGATGGAGTACTATATAGAATGACAAATCAAGTGATTTTAGTCTAGTATTAATGAGTTTTTTGTATTATGACTTCAGATTTTTTATTTAGAATATTTGAATTAAAAAATACACGTTATAAAAAATATCAGAATAGTCTCTCCATCTTTATAACGATGATCAATTCAATTTGTCAGTAATAATATAATTTTTTTTTAATATTTAACAACTATTGAGAACTCAGAATTTTATCTATCAACATATACATATATAACTTATATTCTTTTACAATGACATATAATACAAACAAAAATATGTTTTTTTCCGTAACAGTCGAATGAGGTCATGCATCGATCAGAATTAAATTCCATTTCGAAAAACTAAAACACTTAGCCCGTGAATGCTGGCTTAAGTTACAAACAAATGTTTTCCGAAGTCAATCGTTCCTTGTGGTGAGAAATGGGAGATCCTTCATTGTACTCTTAAAAAGTCCACTCTGATGACTTCGTGTACAGAAGAACAAAGGAAAAAAATAAAAGGTGTTTGATCATGTCTCTTAAAAAAGATGACAAAGTCAATAGGTTAGTATGAAAACTCCGGCTCGAGTAAAAGATTGCTATAAGATTGACTAATTTTCCTATCAAAAAGAAAATCAAACCCTAGAATAATATACTCTTGGTATCAATCTTGTGTTTTTTATTTGTCTCAGCTGCTGGTTAACTTAATTAGTCACTCAACTTTGTATCAAGATATTTTAAAGATTTATTTACGCTAAGAAATTTAAAAATCATCTCCAATGCATATCCTAAAATCCTACAACCTTCTAAGAAATTAATTAATAACTAAAAAACATTACATTATGTTAAGTTATGAAGAATGATATGGATATATTTCATAGTTTAGAGTGCTATGTAAAATTAACACATCGGTCTCGTTAATTAGTTAATGAACATAAGTCAAGGAGGCAACTTCTCTTGCGAAAGCTTAGAACGGAATCGTTTGAAAGGTGCACAATATATTGGATCAAGGATATATACTCGTTGGTATTTTTAATAAATCTAATTATTCACATTATAAATATAAATATCATCTCTTGTATTCCTATAATCATCGATTAACAACTTAATAAGAACTCTCGGTATGATCATAAAGCGAGATATAATTATCGAACCACATAAATCTTTATATTATGTGATTATTTTTGTTTTTCGATTCTATTTTCTTACTTGATTAATTTTCTAACACATAAAACATGTATATTTGATTAATTAGGTCTAATTTTGTTTTTCTTTCCTTTCACAAAGAAGAAGGATGATACTCGAATTTGAGCATCATCTCGGTTCCTTCTATCACAACTGAAGACTATTGGATCTAATGCTTCATTAAGTTAATACTTAATCATAGAATATGTTATATTTTATTCATTTTTTTATCTTCCGGATGAATGTGGACTCACTCAATTTTATTTGTTTTTAATCATTTGACTTCATCAACGTATGAAAACAAAGATAACAAGAACTAGCACAAGACTTATTTTTAGACATCTATCATGATTGAAAGGAACATTATAGTTAATTGCGTGACTTAGCTCGAGATATATACTAGGAAATTCCAAGATTACGTCCTTCGATTTGATAGCGTGTAAATTTTTAATCCCCGATGATCACTAGGTATGGGATCTTAAGCTAGACAAGTTTTCGTGGATATACAAATCCATATGATCAACACAATTGATAGAAGGAAAAAAGGGCGAGGACGAAGAAAACATAAATTACGAGGTACTTCTTATTTTGTAGAACGAAGAGAAAAATTAGATTTACTTTGGAGTCCAAACTTTTCAATCTTTCTAATTAGGACTAGTAAAATTGAAATTTAACCTCATAAAAGCCATCCAATAGTCTCAAAAAAAAAAAAAAAAAAAGAAATTTTATTCAAAATCATTCTCTGAATCTCTCAAATTTGAAGAGAAAATAGATGAAAAACTAATAAATTTATAATTCTAACCTCATAAAAACAGTTCATTAAGAACATACATATGTATAATAATAATTTCATCTTTCATTTTTTCACTTCCATTTTTATTCTTCTAACTAACAAAAGCACTATTTTTTCTTCACTCTCTTCCCTCCATTTTCACCCTATCTAATAAAAGGGATTTAAATTTATTTTCTTTTCCCCCACTTTCTCTCTTCTCTCATTCCGAACTTAAACAAACTTTAAGGCATTGAAATCATATTTGTGAGGCGTGACAAAGTGTGTAGAAAAATCAATTTTCCAATAAAAACTGCTTTTGAATTTGAGAACATAAAAAGCCATAAACAATGGAAAGATAATAGTGGGATTTGCTTTAAGAAGATCCCAACTTCCAACAAGTACTTTACCTGTTCAGCAGTTATCCACTTTGTGGGGAAACCCATGTCTCAATTTTTTTTTTAAAAAAGAAAAAATTTTAAAATTGCAATGGCCCAAAAAGCAATCCACCCACCGCTCTCTACCCGCCATTATTACAACTTTACCGTTAACGGCAAGTCGTCAGTATCTCTATCAAACAGTTAAAAAAGGTAAACTAGCAAGAGATATGATCGGCTGCACCAGAAACTACTACATCACCAATCTCAAACGCATCAAATCATGCCACGTCTTCAAATGATGAAATTAAGTGGGTCCCACATGAGTGCTATACTGGTAGCGTTGTAGAGAATCCGAGGTCCATATACTTTCAGTCAATGCATTCTTTTTTTATTGTTTTACAGAATTGCCCCACATAAAAATACCCAGAACTGGAAAAAGCACTCTCATTTTTCAATTTGATTCCACTTTTGCCCCTCCGCTCTATACGCTCCACCAGAAAAGGAAGGAAAAAAAAAAAACGGAAGACTTTACAGTTCATTTGCTATTATTTAGATATGGACCAATCATAATAAAAAGGAAAATCTGACCTCTTTTTGTTTGAAAATTAGGGTTTTTAATCCCATTACCCTTTCCATGCATGAAAATAATTTTTCTCATTAGCAATAGTTTTCATAAAAAAATAAAAATGAAATAAAATTTTAAATTATATCATTATCTAATAAATATTATTTGAAATTTAATATAAATATAAATCAGTCAAACGATACATATATATATTTTGAGGTAAATATCACTATCCATGCACACGTACTTACAAATATAATATATTTAATTTGACATCTCTTAAATACATCTAATTATTTTATTTTTTAAAAATATGTCTTTTCACATCATAAATTAATTAATTATAGAAAAAATTAAATGAATAATTTATTGATTATTAAAACCCGGTTTCAAATTTTTCAAAGACCATGCCTTTTTATCTTCTTTTTACCCCAATAATTAGTTCTTTTACCAACATTTTTTTTAATTTTTGTTTATTGAAAATCTTATTTCAAAATTTAAACAAGAACCAACAACAGCAATGAACCAAACCGTCCTTTACTAATTAATTAGCAACGATAACATAACTCTGCTGTCTCTGAGCAAATTGATGAAGCTCCAGCAACGGTTATGGACGGTAGGGTCTTGAAAACGAAGAAAGTTGTCAAGTGTTGGAAATCATATCCACGTCATGATACTAATCTACATAATTAATAACTAAAATTCCATCTGACCCACACAGTTTTTGTCTTAAGATTTTTTTATCTTTTGAAAAAAAGAATCTTACTTGCACTGTGTTTTCTTTTTTGTAATTTTTTAATGGTTGGCCAATGTGACCCTTAAAACTGTATTAAGAATTAAATACTTGAAAGTCCAAATCATGGTCCAAGCAGTGTTCAATCATTGAAAGCAACTCTTGTGTTTCCAAAATTTCTTAGCTTAGGTTTCTTGAAAAATTTGCACTTAGGTTTTGGCTTCTCCTTGTTTGTTGCTTAAAGTCCGCTTCTTTCTTTACTTATTTGATTATTGGTTTGTTTTGTCTTCAATCACCTCAGTATCATTTCCACTTCATCGATCTCTACAACCTTTTTTTTTTTTTTTTTTAATCTTCGGTTGTTACTACTTTCCTGGGTTTTTTGATTTTTTGAATTCAGTTTCTTGCATATCTTTTTTGGGGTTACCTTTTTGGTATATAGATGACATAGCTTCATTTACACTTCATCTTGGTTTATCATATACATTTCGGACTGCTTTTTGTTGTTGTCAGTGTTGAAGTTTCTCCAAATGGCTAACTTGCTTTAGTTTTTATGAGGTGTAAAGAGTTTATTTTTAGTATCCAACAGCAAATCCAATGGTATAGTTAGTTCAAAGCTCTGGCTGTTTCTTCATTTCTACTTTGTTTCAGTTTGGTGTGTTCTTTAAGCAAGAAGTGAGCTTGTAGCATCAATATTGCTGTTTCTTGAGAAGGGTTTGTTTTTTCAAGTTTCATTAGCTTGTAAATGTTCGTTTCTAGTGAAATGGAGCAGATCTCATTGCCTCTAGATAATGTAAAAGAGAAGATGGAGCCAATGGAACCAAACCCAGATTACCTTGACGGGTTCCAGTTACAATCTGAGCTGATCGATTCACCACCATTACCAAACCCCACCATTTATACCGATGTCAATGTTGTTCCTGAGCATGAAAAGGACGAGCTTGAGCAGTCTATATTGAATCTAGAAGGTGAAAAAAGTTTCAAGTATTTAGTTGCAGTTAGCTATGTATTGTTTTAAGATTCTTTTCTTACATACGTTCTCATGTTGCATTGAATTTGTAGGTGAGATTGCAGATTTGAAACTAAAGGAGAGATTGTTGGACAAGAAGCGTAGAGAAGCATTAAATGAGATATTGGATATTAAAGGTAGAATTTACTGTATGGTCTCAAGATTGAGTTTTTCTTTTGACCATGTTTTTGCCTATTCTAACTTTGGCTTTAATTTTCAGGCAGTATTAGAGCTTTTTGTCGAGTTAGACCGTTCCTATTGTCAGACAGGAGAAGAATTCACGAACCCGTTTCAACTGGGTTAGAGAAGGTGGTGGTTAAATCTGTTGGAATTAGGAAGGAGTACAGATTCGATAAGGTTTTTCATCAAGCAGCCACTCAAGGTTGGTGTCCAAATTAATGTGTTTTCTTCTACATTGAATCATATATGTATATATATTGTTTTTTTGGTTTCAGTTGTAGTAACAGTCTACTTGTTCTTGAAAACTCTGTAGAAGATGTTTTTGTTGAGGTTGAACCTATCCTTAGATCTGCACTTGATGGGCACAATGTATGCATACTGGCTTATGGTCAAACTGGAACTGGCAAGACATTTACAATGGTCAGTGGCAGATTGAAATATGTTCCTCTTGTACTTATGTTATTAAATGCATGTGCTTGATCATTGATGACTATGGGTTAAATAATTCTCCAGGATGGCACAAATAACCAGGCTGGGATCATTCCTCGAGCTGTTGAAGAGCTTTTTCGTCAAGCCTCTTTGGATAATTCATCTATAACATTTTCAATGAGCATGCTGGAGGTTTACATGGGTAATCTCAGAGATCTACTTGCTCCAAAAGTGGCAAGTAGGACATATGAGGTTGCAGCGAAATGGTAATTATATACTCCTGACTCAAAATCAAATTGAAGCCTTTGTTGGATGTTGATACGTTTTGGCTAACTATACTACAGCAATCTAAATATTCAAACAGATCCAAAGGGAATGGTTGAAGTTGAAGGTCTGACCCAGGTCCAAATACCTGATTCTGCGAAGGCAAAATGGTGGTATGCTAAGGGCAGGAGGGCTAGATCTACTTCGTGGACTAATGTCAATGAGATATCAAGCAGGTCACACTGGTGGGTTTAGGGTCTTCTTTGATTTTCGAACTTACATGTTTGATTAATTTCATTTGATAATTACGTTATCTGTTTAGTTCCATATATCTAGCTTAATGAGGATCACCATTTCTCGGCATGGAGATGATTCGAAAGCTAAAGCACACGTGAGCAAACTGTGGATGGTTGATCTCGGAGGAAGTGAGCGATTGTTGAAGACTGGGGCCACTGGACAGACACTCGATGAGGGAAGGGCCATAAATCTGTCTCTTTCTGCTTTGGGTGATGTTATTGCCGCTCTAAGAAGGAGGAGAGGCCATGTGCCTTACAGGCAAGTTTTTAGTTGGGTTTATTTTTCATCTTTAATGATTCCTTCCTTTTTGGTTGGGTCAGCTGGTAGTGGTCCCTGTTTGCTTATGAAGCCATGATTGCAACCAAGTTAGAACTTCTGAGGTTTTGCTTCTGTCCTACTGTCAATATTTAATTTAGCTAATTTTAATCTTCACTTATGTGGTTGCAGAAACAGCAAGTTAACTCAAATCCTCAAAGATTCCTTAGGTAAACCTCTGCATGAACAGAAAATTAAAAAAATTTGCTCAAGTTGAATTCACATAGCTCTAAGGGTTCTTACCACCTGAAATTATAAAGGTGTGGAGTCTTAAGACTGCTAGTAATGACAATCAAATTTGTTACATGGTCATGACTTCTCTTTAAGCTGTAGAATTTATGTAATAAAATGCTATTGCCAACACAAAAGGCATGTTCCCTTTTCTTTTCAGGGTGATGTTTTTATACTTTCTTGATAGTTTGAGAAATCTTAACGTCTCTGACTTCAATTGGTTTAGGTGATAGTTCAAAGGTATTAATGCTTGTCCATATAAGCCCATGGGAAGAAGATGTTGGAGAGACAATCTGTTCTTTAAGCTTTGCAAATAGAGCCAGAGCAATAGAGACCTATCGAGATCTAACAGAGGTATTCTTTCTGAAGTTCTTTCACAACTATCGGTAATCTTATCAGAAAAGGTTCACAAACTGTCGCTTGCTTTTTTGTGCCTTTGATTAGGATATAAACAAGCAAAGGCAGAAAAGGATTTTGGAACTGGAAGTGGACATGAGAGAAGCTGAAGAAGAATGCCAGAAAGTTAGGTATCAAATACAGAAGGCCGAGCTCCTATTGAGCGAAAACAGAGAGCTTTCCTCAACTGCTTACCAAGTTCCTGATGACAAGGAGAATACACCTGTCAATCCCGAAGAAGGCTATGGGGAAGTCCATATTACACCTCGAGTTACTGACAAAGGAACTAGGAGAAATATGACAAGTTCTTTCCCACGATTCATGACTTCTACTGTGGCGAGTCGACAAAGGCAAAGTGCTTCAGAAAAAGTAGTTGTTGGACGGGCAAGAAGTTTGAGATCCACAACAAGAAGTTCATTACAATTTTCAGCTTCTCAGTCCCTCAGTTATTCAGAACTTCGTCTCGGAGCAATTTTAAAGGAGTCAAATAGAAAGTCAAGATATGGAGAGACAAAACCTCTCCTCCCAAAGAATCCCAATTGCAATGGCTCTGATACGAAGACAACCCTCTTTCCTCGAAGCAAGTTAGTTAATTCATCAGATCCAAACTTGAGAAATACTCTTTCTCGTCACAGAAGAAGGATGTCTGATCTAGTCTAAGGGTAGAAAAAAAGGCCTCGTTTAGGGATTTTTTTTTTTTTTTTTGTTCAGGAGTGGGATTTGACCTGGCAGTAGTGTTTTTAGTGAGTGCTGTGTTATAACAGATTGTGATGGGGGGTTTCCTTGGGCTTGTTGGGGATCTGTTATATTATTTGTTTACAGTATCCCTGTTGTCACATGATTGATGATCTGGTTAGGTTTGATGAGAATTGTTAAATACTCATCAACATGATCATTGTAGCGCATAATGTGTGCATAACTTCGTTTAGATGATATTAACATCATATTGTTTATTATATTACAACTTTTCTGGTCTTTTGATTAGTTTCATAGCCAGTTCCATGACCTCTTTGCGGTGTCAGCGGAGCAAATCTAGCTCTCAGCTGCTCAATTAATACGGTTCCCACATGGATGAAACTGATTTCTGCTATTTCAACAAGGCATTACAATGGATACATCTCCTTGGAGTTCCCATTCGTTTTCATTGCCTGGTCTTACTATGTTCTGTATCCCCGAATTTCTTTTCCATTACTCTGTTACAGCTGAAGTTTTCTGTGGTGCTATGGAATATGATGCATGTGCAAAAGGACTGGCAGAGTAGCAGGCTCATGTGCTTTAGTTTTGGCTAGTTTAAGATGCTTGGCTTGCTAGTTGTAAGCATTTTTAAAGTTGGCTGGCAACAGGTAGTCTAGTCTAGAGGAGAACTTTGAAGAACAGAAAGCAGGAAGCCAGATTCCCCAGATCGCAAAAAATCTGCAAGCCATTACACTAATACAAGGTCTTTGAAAGATTCCCAAGTAAGGTCGAGGCAAGCTGTTGTGCGAACTGTGATGTTTAGCTCCAATCCTTTTATGTTTTAACAACAAAAGAGGATGGGAAAAACATTGTCCGATGTCCAGCCACGTACACGTACAGACTTTAGAGAGTCAAGTCACAGCTTCCTTTAAAGGAAAATGCTGTGGTTGGAAAAATTTTGTAGCTTAGAGCAACATCAGGTAAAGACCGCAAGTCTTTCAGGGCACCAGCAGCTTAAGTTTGAACAAACAGATCGAATTAATTTACTAAATCCAAATCTTGGAGAAGAAAAGCAACAAGATACACTGATAAATCAATAGATACATTCAGTTTCAGGCCTTTCTCAAGAGCAACAAACAGTGCATTAACATTAAAAGTTTTAGTAGTAATCAAGAAGCATTAGAAAGTCTGAAAAGAATATGTGCCCTATAGCTAGTATTTCAAATTTGGACTACCCATTGCATAAGTCGCTAACTTCAGTCCCTCACCTTTTCAAATCAGCGCTGAATCCTTACATCAAAGTTAAGTCCATTTCTCTTCTGTAAAACATAATAGGTAAGTCCCCCACTCCATCCTCAAAAGATGTTCTGCCCAAACAAAAGCCTGCAAGGTCATCAATCCTTTCTTTCTACTGACAGTTATCCAATGGGTGTTGAAAAGGAAGTGATCAGAAGCAACAAAACTAGTATACAACAATCACTGAGGTTTTATCTTGTGTCCAAATTACCTACATCAAAAACCAGAAAGACCATTCTGCTCCCTCTAAGCTTTAGACCGCCTAAATCCAAACCAAATTTCATAGTGATTAAACAGCAAGCTATCATGTGTATGCTTTCCAAGATACTCAAGTCCCACACTGGTCAACCTCTTAGTACATTCCTCACCTCCCAGTCTTGAACAGAACTTAATGTTATGTGACACGAAGATGCGGCCATCATAAGGTTTCAGCTTGCTCGCTAATCTTTCTAGTCCAACCCAGACAAGCTTATCAGGCATATGAAGAAAGACAGCACTAGCATATATCAAATCATACACAACTCCAGAACCAAACTTGGAGAAATCCATGTCTTCACCTCGCACAATCAGAGGACGCTTGTGTAAAAGACCCTGAGAAGGAAGCTCGTATCTGAATGCAGCCATCAGAGAGAGCTCATCTCTTTCAAGACAATGGAAGTGCTCAGGGCTGAGATAACGAATAAAATGCAAGCCAACACGTAGTGTTCCACACCCAATCTCAAGCACACGTGAGTTGGGTGACAGGTGGCTGGACTCTGCAAGGAACTCAAACACGTCCCGCCCACCAGCCCAGGGCTCCCCATAGTTGCTATGATGCTCTTCTACAAGTAGCTCACCAGGACATGGGAGAGCAGTGTGATTGCCTGACTCTGGCCCTTCATAATGAGATATGCCCTTGAACCTGAGAAGAATGAAATCAATTAAAATTGTTCCAGTACCCAGAAATTAAACGTAAGAAATTGCAATTCCGTCCAAGCACAAAACATTCAAAGACATGCTCGAATTTTAAGAAACAACTCATATAAGAAGAACCAGTAACATTAACAAAAAGTTATGAGACTGCACTTTGAAACTGGGGAAAAAAACTCTACTCTTCCAATCAAATCATATGCTTTACACTGTATGTGCTCATATGATCCTCACTTCTTTCCACTACACTACGTTTCGTCCACATATCATTTCCTCCTGCTACATGAATCACCTTTCACTCTATTCTATCAAACATAGGTCAAGTCCAAAGAAACCATGAACAATACATGTACAAGGTAACCAATGGAGCACCGACATAACTACCGCACCCCAGAAAAAACACTAAACTCAAAATATCACCTGCATAAAAAGACATTGTTGTGTTTCTTCAAGATAAATCAGATAAGAAAAATGAACCACTTTCGTCATTAAAAATGTTAAACTCAAATGCAAAAGCCATTCTATAACAGCCAAATTACATCGACAAACACATCGCCCTTAAAAATCCCAACTTTTTCAACTCCCAAAACAAAATCATCCGAAAACACACACACACACACACACACACACACAAAATCCCAAAAATCCAAACTTTATCAACACCCAATACACTACCATTCAAAACAAACAAAACCCAGAACTCAAAAAACCATAAAAAAGAGAGAGTTACTTACTGAATGAGATCTTGTAATTGTTGAGCTCTAGTACGAGGATTAATCCCTTTACGAAGAACATTATCTTGCATATGTAAACCATTAGCTTGGATCTGATCTTTAATCCATTCGATATCCTCTTTCGTTACAGATATTCTCTCTTTTTTGTCAACCTCGCCAGGCCGACCTCCAACGTTTTTATTATCATTGAAGCTTTGCAAAGAAGAGGGACATGAACATGTAGAGAGAGAAGATAAGAGAAAGAATAACGTTATTGCTGCTACTGCAACTGAAAGGACTAACGTTTGAATTGAAATTACTATTCCTTTTTGTGTTGGTGAAGTTACTGTTGATAATGCCATTCTTTCTCTGCTTCTCTTTTGTTCCTGCCCCCCTCTATCTCTGCTTCTTGCTGGATTGTTGATGAAAATGAAATTATTATTTTTTCCCTTCAATGTGGTGACCTGTGTCGTTTGAGGAACAATGATATGTTTTCGTTTCCTTTATGAGAAAGTTGTGCCGTTTTCTGGAACTGTTGGAATTGACATATGTTATTGTCTATAGGATAATTTAAATATAAGTAACATCAATTTTTAATTTTTTATCAATTGAATGTATAAATTTTAATTTTTTTATTTAAATACATAATTTTTTTTTCAAAATTATCAATCAAATATTTTTATTAATTTTTTTTAATAAATGATGATATGTCCAGTGCTCTCATAAATAACAAATTATAATTTTACTCTATTTTTTCTCAATCTAATTTATGAATTTTAGTTTTCTCTATTTTAATATATCAATTCTTTCGAAACTTATAATCATATGCTTCATCAATTGATAACATATTTATTATCTATTAATTATTAAATTATAAATTTTTTATTTTTTTTAGAGAAAACTTTTCCTTGAAATTTTTATATGTTAGGAAGAGAATAATTTGAAACGTGCAAATTTAACTTATTTATCAATTAGAACATATTCGGAAGATGAAAGTAACGTGAGAAAAAAATTGAATTGAACTTAACGATAGGTTATTTTTTTCAAATATGTGAGTTTAACTAATTTATCAATTGAATTCAATTTTGATAATAAATTTGTTCCAAACATATTGCAATAAAATATGTATATTGCAAGTTGTGAGTCATACGATAGATTTATTCACTCATCTTTTTTAATGTTAGAATATTAATTATGACATAATATTACATTGTATGTCATTATAATTAGGAAAAGTGTTAATTTTGATATGTAAAATTTCATCCGAGATATATTGATCATCAAAATTTAAAAAACAATGTTTTTAAGAGTATTGTTAAAAGTTAATCTACCATATCCTATCTTATATAGAAGTAAAGCAAATCGATTTTTAATTTATATATTTTTAATTTTAATTATATAGTGAATTGAGTTTACTTAGATTTTTTCAAAAAGCAAAAAAAGGAAAAAAAAACTCATAAATATACATCTTTTTGTTATCGAATAAATTTAACTATAATTCATAAAAAAATAATTTTTTTTAATGTGGTAAAGTTCAAGTCCATTTACAAGACGATGATGACCTTTCTTGGTACTAGGAAGGAATTGCACAAATCATTTTACAAAAGATTACTAGAAAAACATATTTAAAATTTTTGTACAACAAATTTTAACTTATGGTGATGCAATCGCTCCTTATCAACACTCAATATGCTTTGGTCAAACTACGAGGTCTAAAATGCAAAATTAGACAAGACAAAATGGTAATTCACAAAACACTCCACAAAATCGACGTCGTTTTTTTCCCAGATTCATTGATTCAATCGACCACCAAGCCGATATACCCTCCTGTAAAAGCCCCAGTTAAACCCTAACTCCTAAAACAGACACAGAAAAGAATTTCCAATCCACAAAACAATGAATTCTTCAAGACTTCTCTTCAACATTTCGCAGAAAAATCCTAAATTTCTCTCGTTGTACTCCCTCGGCTATTCTCACATTGACAGCCACCTCATTACGTCACAGCACCGCTTGATTTCCACCACTGCTTCAGTGAGTTCATGGATGGACACCATAAAAGGAGTATTCACTGGGAAAAAGGCAGAAACTGAAGACACCCCAGAGTCATTCACGTTGCTCAGTAAATCTCGCGTCACCAGCCTTGTCACTTTAGTTCTTAATACAGTGATCAGCAAATTTTGGTGTTTAGTGTTTGATTTGATTTGATTTAAATTTTTGGTTTTTAGTACAACCTTTTGCTCCCTGAGAGTGAAAGTGAAAAACTTGAAAGCTTACTTTTCTGTTTGTGTGTGTATTTCCAAATAGATGAATAAGTTGGGTGTTATTGAAAAGAATACTATTATTGTTAGTTGTGATTGTTTTTGTATTTGATTTTAGGCTTTGCAGATGGGTTGCAGAATGCGAGGAGGGTTGGTTCACTAAAGCAATTCGTTGTTGGTAGAAGCAGTGAAGTTACGTTTGCTGGTGCTTTTGAAAAGCAGGAAGCGATAATTCGATACCTTGGTGCACTCGATCCTACTGGAGAGGTTGGTTTGTCCATTTACAGTTGCTTTCTTTATATATTAATAATTATTGACCTGATCATGTGCATGAAAACACTGGCATTTACTTATTAATTTTAACTGCAAATTTCTGTGATGCTGCTCTTGGCTAACAGTAGAGTATCTCTTTACTTATTAAATGATGTGTTGGAAAAGTATGAAGCAAATATGCAATTTGGTTTATTAAGATTTTGGGTTAGGGGATACTTTGAGGGGTGATTTTAGTAAAATCAAGGTTGGACACCAAATGCAGGGAATCATCTTTATATCTATGTGTTCATGTGAATGTGCCATTCGACATCAACACACTTTGGATAATACTTTATAGTTCTGAACTCACAATTATAATTCCACTATCTCAGTAAAGTGTTTTGTGGTGGGAGGTTTCAAATCTTCTGGTGCTGAACATTAATGAGCCATCAAAGTGGATTGTACTCTGTGATTAACTCTACGATACCCCTCTTGTTTTTTATTCTCTTGTAGCTCTTCTAATGGCTATTGTTTTTTCTTGCATTAAACTGCGGTCATGTATATAATTTTTGCATGTATTTGATGCTGCCTGCAAGATTGGTTTCCTTGTTGGTTCTTAGATTATTCAATCTTCTGTTACTTCTTCATGGCTTCTGGGTAGACTGTTTGATTATGGTTTAGGTTTCTTGATTCGTAGAACCTTCAAACAAGTCAAAAACAAGAAGCAGCAAAGCACTGTAATTGCACAATAGCTGATGTTGAGAATGCACTTTCAAAGTTTACATGGGCTAAAGAAGCACAAAATAAGTTGCAAAAATTAAAGGAAGAAGGGAAACCAATGCCGAAGAGCATGGCTGAGGTACTTTTGCTTGTATTTTATTCTAGTTATTACACCATTTAAAAAGTTTCTACACTTCTGCTTCATGTTTTTGTCAAAGATTACATATATGAATTACTGAATGTGGAGCATTGTTCATTCACTGCGATGGGGAGACCAGCTGGTAAGTCAAGAATCAAATCATGTGTTAGAAGTCATTCTGTGTAAGCTGTTACTGAGTCCAGGATTGTTTCATGTCAGAAAAAAAGCCACGATACGAGTTTTTCTGGCTCAGTTTTACAAATTTGGAAGACTGAAATGAATTTGTTGTCTCTGGGGGAACATAATGTATATTTACAGTCATTTGAGTTGAACTTGTTCAAAGTAAAAGTCATAGCTGCTGCATGCACACCTTTGCTGGTATCAAACATCCTATTTTTCATAGTTGTGTTATTCTTTGGAAAAGGTGGAAAAATCTGCATGGTCACATCATGGGCTTGTTTGCTGAACTATATTACGGTTTTTAAGCTAAATGAATAAAATGATCCAATAACCACTGTTGTTTATCTATTCAATCTGCTTGTTCACATAAAGTGTTCAATTCTGTCAACAGCTTAGTATATATTTCCAGAGTCTGCGGTGGAGCAATATAATAACAGTTGTTTTTTTCTTTTCAAACGCTCTTCAGAGGAGGAACGTTAGGAAAATGTGTCATCATTTATTATCTCTGTTTCTAGGTCCAAAAGCTGATGGGATCGACACCGTTAGATCTTGCTCGGTCTAATTTGGCTAAGGGTGGGCAGATCAGCAAGAATGCATTATGTCCATGTGGTTCCAAGAAGAAATACAAACGGTATTCTTTATACTTGTATTTCTAGAATCTTTTGTTTACAGTCTTCCATCAAGAAAAAATTGCATTATAAGATTGAGCTTCAAAATATAGCTACAGTTATTTGCATCAGAGCAAGCTCATGCAGCTTTCTGTTGGATCATTATTTATTCCTACAGAATGCATGTCCACCACTTCATCTGTTATTCTTCTATGTAGTTCTTAGATAGATTAGACTGTAAGTGTAAGACAATAGTCAGAGGTTGAGAGGCAATCGCTGCTTTGGTAAGTGAAGTCAGGTTGTTACAGTGTGGTTTCTGCCTACTCCTTAAAAGCTAACTTCCCTGGGTCAAACTTTCCAGGGAAATCAGGTTTCACCTTCAGTAGTTATCCAAACCATGTGTTTTCTTTGTGGTGTGACCTATTTCTTCCATTAGCTTGATCTGTTTCATTGACATTTTTTATTTCCTACCAGAAACAGGCTGAAACTCCATCCAGACTCGGTTATTCTTTCTTTTATTGGGGATCTCAATGCATAAAAGTTTAGCACTCGTATGCATTTTTTTTTCTTCATGAGATTTGACTAGCTCTTTATATTATGAAGGTGCTGTGGAAAGGATTAGGAGCTTGGAAGGTCCAACGGAAGAGGTGCACTTAAAGCCTGTGGTCTATATTGGAGAAAAGATTTGCGGTCCCAATTGGCAACTGGCAGATTTTGATTAATTTTTTACTAGTTAAGTGGAGTTCGCCCAAATTGGGCTCTTAATTTTGTTTGCTGGTAGCAGTATCTTCTGCGTACAGGTTGTTTAAGCCGAAATTAGATTCTTGTATTTACGCCTTTTACAAATCAGGCTGCCACTGAATAAGGTTGAGCAAGTTTTAACCAGACAGTTTGTACGATCATGCGTTGTACTGCTGCTGAGGATGTAAACGAGTATTATTATTATTTTTTCTTTCTCTATTTCTTAATCTTGTATTGCCTTTACGCTTGAGGAGGTGTTAAACACTAGTTAGTCAAATTTAGTGAAGGGATCAAATTTAAGCATCAAGTGCTTGGATGAATTCATCATCTGTTGCCGGTCTGCTTGAATGTTGTTTGAAATGCATCATGTAGGTCATTCTCCTCTACTGCTCTGCGTCAAGGATTGCATCATATGTCGATGTACATGAAAATCTCCATTGGTTCGCTTGCTTCGGTTCTTCTCTTTCCTAGAGTAACCTATTGTGACAATAACAATGGAGACCTCCCAACTCTCCTAAACTTTTTTTTATAGAAATTAGTCGATGCCTTTATTCGGGTGAAAAGCAAAGACATAATAGGTTATTGCTTAAATTGACTTACACATATGTAGAAAGTCTTGATTAAAATACAATACAATTAGGACTGTTCTCTTTCCCCCTAACTTGACTTATTCGTATTAAATAATAAATAAAGAACAATAAAATTAGATATTCTTCGATTCTTCAATCTTAGTTTCTCTCTTTATGCTGTTGTCTTTTTCTGTGTTATTGACTCATAAATGAATCCGTAACGTTACACCTCTTCTGAACACTGAGCTTGCCCTTAATCTCAAATGTAGAACTTGTCTTCAAGTTTAAACTTAGGATAAGACTATTGCAAGTTAGTGACCAATGCCTATGTAGCATCATCAGGGTTCATTCCTACTCCTTGTTATGGCATGGAGAGTGATTTTGGAATCCACGGTGGGTCTAGTTTCTCGTCGGAGTAGTCCACCATCAAGCAGAATAGATGTTTACACCAGTGCTCGACAAAGAACGACTCATCACAATTGTAACAAAGCCCTTTTACTAACTTCTTCATGAAATGCGTTATGTACTTCCTGTGTCGGAAACCATGGGCAAACATCTTTCCACCTGTTTTGATTCACGGTTAACAATGAATGAAGGAGTTGAACCGATTGTTTGGGAGGGAAACCGATTGTTTAGGAAGAGTGTCTCTCTCTCCAGTTCTGGCAAAGAGTTGTAGCTTTCTGTCGAAAGCTCGAGCTTAATTCGTAGTTGTAACTAGATTAGGAGATTGTTGCATCTCCACATCCACCCTTAGTGCCTCTGTGAGTCCTGCGGTAAACAAATCAACATGTTGATGAGACCTGACAGAAGTAGCTCTAGCTAGAAGTGTCTGAAATTTAGTGTGATTCTTTGTAATTATCCCCACTTGTTTGATGTTAGTCATTTCTGCTAGTGGGTTGCTGCTCAAAGGAGGTCCGAATCGAAGAACATTAGGATTTGAATTGTTTCCATGTTAGCCCTGGTTCTTCTAGGTCCATGCGAAACAACTCAGCCTCACCCGTTATGTTGAAAGCCGCTAAACCCATCTTTTCCTCCTCTCTTATTCGTTGATTAAGGAAAACTTGTTCACGTCGATATAGCTATCCCAACGGGTTCTCTACTCCATTGTAAGATGAAAACTCCAGTTTGGAGTATCTAGGAACCACAACTGTCCTTACATGCCATTCGTGATGTCCCCTTCGGGGTTTGGTTATCTGGTGATTGCGACTACTGAATCCAACCTCACAATCTTGGGACTTACCCTCACCCAAAGTCTGCAATTCTAGCATCGGTTGAGTGGCCTTCATATCGTCCCTCAGCTCTCGCAACTCCTGACCAATTCGCTGATTGAATTATATCATTCGACGATCTAGATCTTGCATTGTATCTGCCAGTTGTTTGTAATCACCCATTATGACAGGGTCAGATACCAATTTGTTATGGTCCTGCATCAATGATCGTGTCACAGGTTGATGTACAAGGAAATTCTCGTTGATTCCCTTGCTTTGGTTCTTCTCTTTCTTAGAGAAACCAACTGTAACAGTAACAATAGTTTTTTTCTTTTTTTTTTTTCCCTTAAGAAACCTCTCAACTCTCCTAAACCTTTTTGGTAGAAATTATCCGATACATTTATTCAAACAGCATCCACTCTGTATAGAGTAGAAATGATTGAAAAACAAAGAAAGCTATTGCATAAAACGATTCACCCATATATGGAAAGTCTTAATTAAAATACCACAAAAAATTAGGACTCTCATACATAATTTTTTCCTAATATGACTTATTCTCATTAAATAACAAATAAAAAGCAGTAAAAATAGATATTCTTCTATCTTAGTTTCCCTCCTTAAACTGCTAGCCACTTCTGTACTGTTGAATCACAAATGCATCCGCACCATCAACTTTTACGACAAACAACATGACCTAAATCAAGGTCCTAAAATAACCAGACTCATGTCTGACCTTGATAATTTAGTCAAGCGGATAGGTTACATATGATTCTTTTCTAATTTGGGGTAGTATTTTTTAGCTCACTTTCGTGATTCTATATCAATTTCTGCTACTATTGTTAAATAAAGCCTGGAAGCATATTTTGAACCAAACACTTCTGGTCTTCGATATCAGCAAGAGCTGTCTGGTTAATTCTATTTATGACCAATCTTATTAATGTTCCTTTGAGATAGTTAACATTGCTGAGCCCACTTCATAAATATTAGTATCTGGCTTGATCAAAAGTCAACTCTATTTGACTCCACAAAACTCTCATAACCGAGTTTTTCAGGCAATATATATATATATATATATATATATATATATATATATATATATTTTGCTAAGAACAACTAGGCTTGTGAAGTATGTTTCTCCTTTTGCATTTACGGGCCGGACCCATTATTGTTTCCTTCTGGAATTTTGGGACCCAAAAATTCATTGCCCCCGCCACACAAAATGATGGGTTTGGTGGTGACTGTCACAGTGCTTGAATCCTACACCATCTATTGTCCAATTTGCTAAACTGTCAGGCTTCATTGTTAGAAAAAAACAGTATTCAACTGCGGTTTCATTGTGTAAACAAATGAAATTACTCGGAATAACCCACGGTGTTTATACTCTTTTATCATTTTGATTAACTGCCTCTCTCACTCCAACCATAGTCCTTTTACTTACTCTGTTTTGGATAAAGAAAATGCGTGAACCTGGTATCATTATTTATTTATATGCTGACTCATTTTTTTTCATTAGATCACACTATAGGTTCAACTATATGCTAAACATGGCGAAAGTCGATAAATGATTTGATTTGCTAACATTTTCCTTGTAAAATATTGGTGGTATATTATCGCTATGATTTATTGGTACGGACAGATTAGCATCGTTAACTACTGTAAGGGGATCTTTTTGGAGACTACTGTTGTCAAATTTAAAAGAAAATTTCTTCAGGAGTTTACAAAAACACTTTCCCTTCGGATAGGAAATTGCTTATCTATAATTTAATTAGGTTCTATAATTCAATTAGGCACTATGTTTGATAATGTAATGATAGGAATTTGATCCACATTTTTTTAGGGATTCTTCTCACTTCATATATTTACCCTGTGGAATTTTTGTTAGGTTAATTGTCATGTATGTCAGCAACTCAAAAATGAATGAGGGCCAAAAGATGTTCCATATCATGATTGGTAGGGATGACAATTTGTTCCGTCCTGCTCAACACGGGGATTTCTCACGTTGACCGGAGAACAAGGCGGGGTGGGGCGCCCCGTATTTACTTTGAACGAGGATAGGACGGGGATGGTGTTTGCCCGTCCTGTCCTGTTTGCCACATTTCATTACTAAAATTATATAAAATCTGTGATTACTAACTTTTAGGGTTTATTTTTTATATGAACTATATTTTTTTGCTATAGTTTGAAATTTGATAGCAAAATGGGACAAGACGAGATGGAAAAAAAATATAAATGGGGCACCAGTGCCTAGCAAGGATCTCCGTCCCTATTGAAGGCGTGGATGGTATGACAAATTTTGCTTAGCACGAGGCACAAGATGGGGATAGGGCAAAATTTTCAAGGGCGGGGTGGAGACAAGGATGGCCCCTTCCCATTGCCATTCCTAGTGATTGGCTAGGGCTGTGCATCCGTTAAGCATTTCAAGAAGAATGATAAAAAAAACTTCATCAGTGTTGTTTGTAAACTTGTGGATGGAGGATCCATGCCGCACCTTCATTAGATAGGACATCATGGAAGGTAAAAATATTTATTGATAAGCATAATTGTGTGAAAAACTCCAACATAAAAAAAATCACTGCAGCATGAATTGCTAAGATATATCTTGAGAATATTAGGGATCAACCTAATTATATGAAAATAGATGCGCTTAGAAAGATAGTAGCGAGGGAGGAAAAAGAAAAGATCCTTACAAACAAGTGCTACAAGGTCATTAATATTACTAATGAGATGATTGAAGAAAAAGATAATGAGTAGTTTGGAATGCTGTGGAGTTATGTTGCTGCGATTGGAAAGTTCAATCGAGTAAGTATTGTTAAAATTGAGACAACTTTTGGAGTTTTTGAAAAAATATACATGTGTCTAGTTGTTTGTAAGAAAGGCTTTTTGGCAAGTTGCAGACCATTTATTGATGTTAATGAATACCATTTGAAAGGATCCTTCAAGAGAGATCTTCGGTTGTTGTTGGAAAAGATGTCAATGACAATGTGTACCCACCCAATTGCTCATGCATTGGAGTACGAAGAAACAAAGGTAATCTGAAAATGGTCCTTAGATATACTAATTGAAGATATTGGCTATTCTGAAAACAATAATTGGACTTTTCTTTCTGATCGATAGAAGGTATTTACTGTCTCAAGATCTTTATTACACTCATTGCTTATTTTAATTGCATAACTAACTGACACTTTAATTGTGTTTCTTGGATGTTTAATTGACAATAATAGGATTTGCAACACAATTTTGATGAAGAGTTGCAGGAGATGATCATAGATACTGTGTCAGACACTTACAGAACTTCAAGAAGTATTACTATAATCAGGCCCTCAAAATTGTTTGAACTTAGATCAAATGCAATGTAAGTAGTGTACTTAGATGAAAAGATTGGCAACATTCCACACATCTGATTGTGAGAATGGTTTAAGAAAATAAAACTGAGAGATAAATCCCAAACTAGGTGCAAAGATGCCAAAGTGTTTAAATCTTCATTGGAATTCAGTTTATGAAAGGAATAAACTAGTGTTTTAACTTGGAATTTTTTTGGCGTTTATGCAATCAACAAAATTATTATCTGCCAAAGAAAATCCTATGTACAACATCAACAAGCGAAGCATAAGTTGGATCGATGGCTTTCAATCCTGGATATTCAAGAAGTGAAAGTCCTGCAACAACAAGAGATGAAGTAAAAAACACAAGTTAGCATATGATTTCCAAAACAAGAATAAAACCTGAACCATTACTAGAAATCAAAGTGTATGAATGAGTTGACCCCAGTGAATGCTATCATCACTCAATAAATATGTGATTCTTTGAGTCATTTTCCCCATCAACTACATGATAAACGTATTTGCCTAGGAATGACCAAATGGAGCATATATAAGAAGTGAGTTTTCCAATTTATGAGCGCAAAAAGAAATGTAGGTTTGATGGAGACAATCATCTTATGTCTAGATTTGCAGCCTCACAGTATTAAATTTATCTCACCTTGTGAAAGTTGATAAAAGTCCAGTAGACAAAGGGAAAAAAAACCATAGAAAACATATTAAAAAAATGACACTTTATTTCCCTAGGTGAACAGGGACCTAGAAGCTCTTAAAATTGTAGTAAATCAAATTATGCTCGGATCAGATGAAACAGAGTTGACGACATTGAATACCAACACTCCAATGTATGTATGAAATACATCAACAGAATCTTTAGGTCTATTTGAAATTCCTCCTTTCTCAGTATCTTATAAATTTACACAGATATCAAGAAGACAATCTTAACTGCCACCAGGGTTCCTAATACTGGAATGTAACAAAAATATGCTGGAGTTTTTATATCATTTCAAATTTATGATCACACCCCCTCAATTTGACACTAACGTGATACTTCAAGATGAACTTAAAAAGCTTATCCTTGCCAATTCAATGCACTTTGTCAATCATAATCAAGCTAGAAGAACCCACCATGAGTACCAAATCTGAAATGATTTGGCATGATCATGCATCTCTATGAATAGTTGTTCAACAAAAGAATAATCAACAAACTAAAATTTTGTAAAATAATTGGAACGTAACATGGATCAAATTCTGTCCAGCATGAGACTCTGCACCAGGAGTGCATCCAAATCCGCCATCCGCATCTTTGCAACTTACGATGTAGTTCCCGGTTTTCTCCGCATTTAATTCATCATCGATCTTTCTCTGAAGCTCCTGTGGTTTGTTTCACTTTTCTATGAAAAATAACCTGAACGACATATATTCTTAAAATTTGGAATTTGTTTTAGGACACGTTATGGGCTAAAGCCGCTAAAGACTGCTTTCCACTTGAAAGAGTCTGATCCACTCCCATCCTTGGGCCTATTTCTGTAATCTAAAATATTTCATTTGACATTATTTTCGGATGAAGAGTTTTTTTTTTTTTTTTTTAATTCTATTTTAGTGTCTAGTTTGCTCTTTGAAAATATATACTTATATTTTAAGTTATTCTCCAATCTATGAGAATGCTTTCATTTAAGAAACTCGAACTACACATAATTTATTAAAAAAAAAAAAAGGAATTTGTAAATTGTTATATGGTGTTAAAATTCCTTTTTTCGTAGTTTTTTTTTCCCTAATAAATTAGGTTAGGACTGAGTTTTTACGTGAGGATATTTTTGTTAGTTTGGATGAGAACATCTTACGTGAGGATGACCGGAGAACGATCTTATATTCAAAGACAAATTGGAAGCAATTAAACTTGTAAGGATAGATCAAAAACTAAACATAAAATACAAGGATAAGTTTAGCCAATTAACAAATCATTATTGAAAATTTGAGGGGTGAAAAAATCATCATCCATTTCAAATAGATTCGAAGTTATCTAATTATGAGATTTATCTCCATTTTTTCAACATTAATATCAGGAGAAAATTTATAGGTAGAGACATACCTTCGGTTGGCGATGTTTCAATGGTTGAGAACCTTGTCCATTGAGTAATAATTACATTCTTGTTTGCTAGAAGCAAAAATGTCTTTTAAGTTATCCAAAATGAGTCTTAATAATCCGATTTGATTATGGAGTAAATTGTTGAATAATCCCTGTGTTTTTTTCCGCATAATTAGTTAGTCCCTCTAGTTTATATTTTATATCCAATCCATTGATAACTTTTCATTCATTATTTCTGTGGAAGGACTAAATTAAACAATAACTTATTTGTGCATTACAAAATTGGACATACACTTGTCTAGAATTTCCTGCACGTTTCCCGCAATGCAATTGGGAAATTCCTTTGATTTGCTAGGCATAAAAATTATACATACCAAATATATGCATTAGAATTTGGATATTTAATCAAGGAAAAAGTGGGCAGACAGACAGAGAAGAAGCTACTAATATATTTATCAAGGGACCTTTTAACTAGCAGGTCTCTGGTTTTCTACAAAAATTATACATGCATTTCATTTCCAAGTTGGTCAATAGGTCAAAGCAACTATGACTACACAGATTTCCTTTATGAGGAAATACTTACAAAAACCATTTACATAAGAAAACCAAAAGATGCGCAGCCTGATTACAAGGTGTTGATACAAGCCCTTAGTCTTGTTATAACAAGTGCACATGGTGACTAGGAAACCTAAAAAAGACCATAAAGGGGGCTAGAGTCCTACATTTATACCTTGAAGCAAAAAACATGAGCAAGCAGACCCTAACTTGCTGGCGGTATCAACATATCTTGTCATGTTCCTCCACTTATCGTTCAAATCAACCTGAAGAAATCATTAAGAGAAAAACAAACAAATACAGCCCAACATTAAAACAAAGAAATATTGCCAACCAAACATAAACAGTACACAATGATGGATCTTTTTTTTTTTACCCCAGTTCTCTCTTCAAACACACACATCTAGAGTTCCAGATCAGCTTCCAATTCCCCTTATCATACCTTTAAAAGGAGAAAAGAACAAGAATAAGGATCCATCAAACTATACAAAGCAAAAAAACACTAGCCGCTTTGTCTAACAACACAGCATCCTTCAAGGAATTTCTATTGGTTGGACAAGTACAGCACATCAAAATTTAACTTTGATAATAAGGCTGTATGCAGCTGCATGTGCTTGCATGAGATAAAAAGGCAGGAAACAGGGGAAAGTGGCTTTCCAGAAATTTTACCTTCTCTTTCTCTTTATTCTGAGCTTTGTTATTATCGCAATTTTGCTGCCTTTCTCAAATGAAGCTCACTATGCTCTTCGGCTTCATTGATCATCTGGTTTCTCATCTCCTTTTGCTCTAGATGGATGGAATTTGGCCTGCAGAAAAAATGTACAATCACCTTTATCAACATAGTGAAGTAAGCAACATTTTATCCATCTACAGTTCCACACAAACAAATTTGAAGCCTCAACGATCCATTACAAATAAGAAGAATAATAGCATGGTTTTTGAAAAAAAAAAATTAACTTCAATTCTATCCACATGATTATGGAAAAAAATTATAATAATATTAATAATAACAATAAAAACAAGAAGAAGAAAAAACAAATAATTCACTATATCATCTAAGTCCTAGCTATAAAGCTTATGTTAGTCATCATCTTGGAACCACCAAACTAACTGTGTATTGAGGGAAAAAAAGAAAAAAAAAAACTTGGCACGGCAGAAGTTTTTATGCAAATATAGTTGAGGTAATAACAACCAAACTCATTTTCCCCTTATTATTTCCATCAGGGCATAAAGAGCTCTATAAAAAGCAATCTTCAAACACTTTCATAAATAAATTAAAAAAATGCAAGAAGATGTACAATGCGATAGATCCATTTACATTATTGGCATATTCACACAGGTATGCAGACAATTGTAAATGATACAGTTAATGCATCTGAGGCAATGTTGTCAATTATACAAATACAAAAGGGAACAATTGTAAACTTTAAAAGGCAATACACAAATAAGTGGCACAAATAGCAATAAAAGTTCATCTACAGCCAATATCAGATGACATTTAGGATCAACATAAGGAGAATTCATCCTCTGCATACCCTAAATTACTCTTTGAATTTTTTCGATATGTAACTGGCTACAAAATGAAAATTCAGACAGATTATCCGAGACATGCACAACTCTATACACCAAAGTAGACTGCCAAATGCAACAACTGGCTTTAAGTAAGAAAGCTACAAATTAAAATTGTCAGACCACATACGATGCACACTGTTATAATCTATCCCTTGAATGATTTGGGTTCGGATTACTGCAGCAGAAAGACTGACAAAACAAGGGACAAAAAAAAAAAAAAAAAATTATTTGTTGTTTAGCAAAACCATTTGTAGACATAAACTCAATCACAAAGTACCTGATGTAAGATTTTAATGAGTCCCGCATTACAATATGTTACGGACAAAAAGATAAAATGTAGGAAAATGTTTGGTGAAGTAAAAGAAGTATCTACACACAATCATAGCTGTGCATGTATAACCCACAAGAGGTGAATGCCAGTCCAAAACAGGTCACTAATGACTGTTATGATTTGCGCAAAAAAAAAAAAAAATGTAAGTAATTTGTGTCGCTGTCCAGATTTTGACAAGATTGAACTAACAATATATTACAAGCTGAAAAAAAGCTACTTAATATTTGCCACATGAATTAGCAGCATGAAAAACTCATATTACCTTTTCACCTTGACGAACTTCTAGAAACTTCTAGAGAACAAGATTGTCTTCCTTGGATAACAGAACTACCACAGAGGCCGTGGTGCCCACGTCTGCGACAAAACCTCTGCCTCTCATCTCACGAATAAGTTGCACAGCCCCTGTATCATTCTTGTGCTGGAGAAATCCTCGGATAATAACATTATAAGAACATTCATTTGGAAGGCAGCCATCCTTTTCCATATTTCGGAAAGCCTGCAATGCTTCATCTAACAATCCTGCTTTGCAAAGTCCATTTATCATTGTATTGTATAACGGAACATGAGGCTGCACCTCATTGACAGAAATCTCTGCAAACAACTCCCTAGCTTCTTTAAGCTTCCCAGATTTGAACATGGCATGAATCAGGACGTTATATATCATGGAATTAGGCTTTAGATAACTATTTTGCATTTCCCGAAACAGTCTCAATGCCTGATCAAGAAACCCTTGCTTGCATAAGCCATCAAGCAAAATTGAGTACGTAAATAAATTTGGGAGGTTGCCATTAGCATGCATGTTCTCAAAAAGCTCTTGAGCTTCTCGAAGCCTCCCAGCATGGCACATGCCACTAATCAGAGTGGTGTAACTAACAGTGTTTGGAATGAGGCCTTGGTGAGTCATTTCATCAAAAAGCTGTTTGGCCTGATCTAACTTTTTCCCCTTACAGTATCCATCGATTAAGATGCTATAACTAAAAATATCAGGCATACAACCCTTGCTTATCATCACATCAAATACCTCTCTAGCTTCAACAACTTCCCCTCGCAAGCAATATCCATGCATCAAAGAACTGTAGGTAACAACATTAGGCTCCACACCCAATTCAGTCATCATTTTTAAAATACCTCGAGCCTCTGAGACCTTGCCTTCTTTACAAATAGCATCAATCAACATGCCAAATATAATAATATTCGGCCTGATATTCAAACTCGTCATCTCATATAGCAATGTCCAAGCCTCCTTCCATTGGCTGAAATTGCATAAACCCTGGATTAAGGATGTGTAAGTGACAATTGTAGGTGAGATGCCTTTATCCTTCATTTCAGAGAAGATATCTGAAGCTTCATTCACCAGCCTGTCCTTGCAAAAGCTGTCGATGATTGTATTGTATGCAACCACATTCTGCTTGCAACCTGCCTCTTCCATTTTCTTGAGCAATCTAGTAGCCACAGTGGTTTTCCCAACCTTACATAAGCCATTGATAACAGTGCTAAAAGTATGGGAGTCAGGTTTATACCCTATTGCCACCATCTCATCAAAGAATTCCACAGCTTGAGCAATTTTACCAACTTTACCCAGCCCATTAATTAAGGTGTTAAATGTGACAATACTGGGTTGAAAACCAAGTTTAATGACTTTGGCCAAGACTGAGAGCCCATAATCAGCACGATGTAAGTGGCAGAAGCAGTTAATCAAGATGTTAAAAGTATAAACATTATGAGAGAGTCCAGCAAATTCCATTTGTTTGGAAAGAGAAACCACAGTCTCATAATGTCTCATTCTAACGATAGCAGACAATAATTTACTGAATTGGATAATAGATGGCCGAGGATTCACACGAAGCATGTGATTGAAGGAATGAAGGGCATGATCAATTTCTGTAAAAGAAGCATTCTTGTGTTTATGTGTACAGGTAGCGGTAGCAGAAGAATAAGTGGAAATGGAGGTGGAGTGGTTGCTAGA